GCAGTTGGCTAGAATTTAGGGTGAAAGTTCATGAAGCATTTCCCAGCAGAAAACCAGGGCAGACGAAGCAACCTGGTCACTCCAGCGGCTTAGGTCACACCATCTCCAAAGGAATCCAGCAGCACACGTTTGTGCCCCCCAGACGACTCCTTCCCCTCACCCCATCTGGAAGGACATGGCCTCTGCCTTCAAGGACTTACAACTAAAGAAAAGAGGACATGTGTGACAATGTCACTCTCCAGATATAATCCCTGCATGTAATTACTGAAATTCATCTGAGCATCCATCCCCGTAAGCTTACTCTGTGTTTTGCACAACTTTGCAGGGGTGTGACAGTGTTATGGGGCCTTTAGGTTCCTAGGTGGCTCCGTAAGACATAAGCTTAGGATAAAAGGACACAGAGGGACCAAGAAGTCAGCCTCAATGCTCCTTGGTTTCTCCATCAATAAGAATTTGACACCCCCTCCCCAGGTTCCTGGCCCCATGGAACTTGAATTAATGCCTGCCTGGGGGGTATAGAGACACATTCCCAGTGCTGACAAGCAAGCATTCAGTCAAACTGTCACCCCTGCCATCATCACGCCCTTCCTTCACATCCTAGGACACCATTATTAGACCTTCCTAAAATGCACAGAATTTAATAACCACTAACTGTTACCTCTAATACATATATTTGAACTTTTACCTCTAAAACTTTGCAGTCGTTCCAATCAGAGAAAACATCTGAGCCGTTGGGAGCAGAAGGAAAGAGAAAAATCACATTCTGTACAGTCTTCCAGGATGCTCTGACTGGTCAGCCTTGTGAGCCTGCTGACCAGAGAGCATCTCTCTCCTCCTTCCATCTGCACAGGTGGGCCAGAATTCTGAGGACTCACTCCCGGAGTCCGCAGTAAACTACCTGAAAGATGTACTCAGACTGTTAGGGGTTCTTACCATTTCTTGCTTTATGCCTACGGACTTTGTGCCAAAATGAGAACGTTTTACATTTGAATTATTAGCTTCCAGCAACCCTCCAAACCAATGTAAAATATTTAAAGCTCCACCATGTTTTGTTTAAACTGATCTTGTGGCTGGAAATTTTTTTTTTTTTTTTTTGGTACGTGCCCCTAGCGGGAACCGAACCCGGGACTCTCTGGTCTGCAGGCCGAAGCTCCAACCGCTGAGCCAAACCAGCCAGGGCGTGGCTGGAAATTTTAACTGCTGTGCACACCAGTGTTCAGTCACAGAGAATGCAAAAGCAAAAGAAGCTTTTATTCTTATGAGCAGCAGCCTTTCATGTCCTAAGTTCATCTCTACCATATATGTGTTTGCATACATGCACATACACACATCTGTGCATGCGTCTGTGTGCTTTATATATATTAAGCCATTCATTTAATCAGTGAGCATTTATTGAGCACCTAGTGTCACATCTAATTAGGCATTAGAGATAAAAATGATGAGTAAGTCCAAGGTCACGATTCTGTGACAACTTATGGGGAAAGTAGATAATCAAATAAGCAATGACTATGCAGTGTGGTAAATGCTGTGATAGGAAAAACAGGTTATTAAAAATGATATCTTAGGCAGTGACTATGTGTCAGATGTTTGTAGCCACTGTCTCTAATTCTAGTCTCTGCACTTTCCAAATGAGTGTGCTGTGGCTGAACCAAGCCGCACACGGCCCCTCTATCAGCACTGGCATCTGCATCACCATTTGCATCTTAAATCCCTATTCTGGTCTCAGTATTGCACCTGCCACGCTGCTTAACTCATTCAGGCATCAATCAAACTTTGCCTGGTACTATGCAGCACACTGCACACCGTGGGGAGAAAAGACCACCTGAAAGGACTTTCAAGCTGGCTATAAGGATAATAACAACACAAAGTAAGGATGGGGCATGGCATAGGGCAGTCTGTGGTCCTGGACCAATGGAGTATTTCAGACAGGAAATCAGATGGCTCCTATAAGGGAGAGAGCATTGTAGGGACATTTATTCAGGAGGTGGGACCAGGTTTTAAGATCATGTAAGGTCAGACAGCAGAAGAGGGAAGGACAGGCCCTCAAGATAGCAGTGTTCAGAGAAGTGCCCAGAAAGCTCACAGATTAGGCTGAACCACAGCCAAAGGTGTAACTGGAGCCCAACGGTGGGACAAGCCAGCCTATAGCTGCCCCAAGTGCCAACTGATAAGAGATATTAAGGCAACATGGAGCATTACAACAACCCAAGTATAACAGCAGATGGAGAAATCTGCATTTATAAGAACTCCTCCCATAGACCACTGCATTTGATGGAAGCAGTTTTTTGTTCCACCTCCTGGGACAGAGGGTGAGGGTGAGGCCCAAAGGGCCTCCTGGAGTCAATACAGAAGGTCACCAAAAAAATCTTCCAAAGATGATTTCCATTCACTGCAGGGACTAGCAAGGTGTGCAAGTTCGAGGCCAGAGAGAGGTGCATTTTTTAGAATCAGAGTGGAGAGGCTGAGTGCTGGCAGCAGTGGGTCTCCCCAAGACCCTTTACCCATAGGGCCTCCCTTCTCCAAATTGGTAAGCAGATACTTAAAAGAATATTGAGTTGCAGGCCTGCCCAGAACACCCAAATGTCTCAGCCAGTCCTGCAGATGATATCTATATTTGTTTAACTCTTTACTGCTGATAAAATACTTTTACATGTGTTAGATGACTTGATTTTCACAACAGCCATGAAATAATCATGAGGCCTCTCATTTTTTTAGATGAAGATCACGAGGGTCAGAAGCACATGAAACAGCATCTTTCCTATTGGTCTATCTTACATCAGGACTTGTTTTCAGGAAGTGGCTATTTCCAAGGCAGACACAAAAATCACAGGACTTGAAAAAAACTTCAAAATAAACTCAACCATTTAACTCACTTTTAGGCAAAACCAAGAGATAGCAGCTAGGTGGGGCATGTATACTTTCTTTTTAAAAATCCTCAACTCTCAGTTCTTCAGAGCACTTCTTTTGGAGTCATAGGTCACAGAAATTAAATTATTCAAGAAACAATTTGTCAATATTTCTTAACAAATTGGGGAGGAAGCTATACACAGAAATGTAGACAGAGCCAAATCAAAGCAAAATGCTAGTGATAAATGCGAAAACCAACCCCCAGCACAGAGACGGAGGGCTCGTCATCATCGCACCCACAAAATAAAGATCACTAACTCCCTGCGCAGCCACAGGGAGGCCTCGTTTTTTTTGTTGTTGTTTTGTTTTTGTTTTTTTCTTTCTCATAACACATAACTCTAACCAAAAGATATTACTGAAATAAGGTCAATATACTTAATCTATAAGGCAATCATCTCACCTAATTTCAACCATCTCTCTATAAGAGAATTTACATAATCAAGCCACATTACACAAACAGAATTCAAATACATTTTTTTCTCCTTTTCCCCTACTTCCAAAGGAAAACTCCATATGCCACTCATCTTGCTGAAAACCACAGGGATAAAGTAATTTAATTCTAGTTAAACCAAGTATTTCAACCACATACTCGTAAACCTTAATCTTAAACATATCCATGAAACATGAGTTTTGAGAGCTTTCCTTCTCATTGACTCAGTCAGTGAAGCTCCAATGTATAGCAAGCAATTCCAAAGGCAGTAATGTTCTCAGTCAATGCTAAACATACAGAAATATGCCATTGCAGTAACTTTTTATTTTTTATTTTTTTAATCCTCACCGGAGGACATTTTTCAATATTTTGTTGAGATAGAGTGGGAGGAAGAAAGAGAGAAACATCGAAGCGAAAGGGACACATCGAGCGGCTGCCACCCACACAACCCAAACAGGGCCGGGGACAAACCGCAACAAAGGCACATGCCCCCAGCGGGAACCGAACCCAGGTCTCTCGGGACCGCAGGCCGATGATCCAACCGCTGAGCCAAACCGGCCAGGGCACAGTAACTTTTTAAAAATTGCTTGCATTCTGAAGTATCATTTGAACTCATAAAACAATTTTAGATAAGCTCAGCTTTCATAATTCTCATTAGGTAATCTAGGGTGTGGGTGTTCATAGTAAATTTCCTTTTCAGGAAAAGGGAGCTGATATCAGGACATAAGGTATGCATGGAAGAATACATATTTTGATACAAGTGTAAGTCAGTACATACTTCTTGTTTGTTTAAAGATCCTTTTGCCTACTTTACTCATAATACAAATATACTGCAGTCAGATTCCATACGTTGAATTTAAATGTACGTGTCAAAACTGGGTTTTCTGCTACAGTTAGATAGGAGTTCTACACACCCTATCAAATACCCAGTCAAGGGGAAACCATTCCAACCCTTAGATGCCCCCCAAGAAATCATTCTTTGTTCACCTAGAAACTGAAAAGACTTTACACTCAGAATACAGCTCTCACAGCAATGGAATAGGCTCTGAATCCGGGTAGCCATATTAAACTCTCACTCGTTGATTGGTTAAAAATTTAACATTAGGAATGAAACCAAAGTCACCACTACCACCAACTGGGTAATTAAATTCCTGGTTTGAGTCAGTTTCAAAATCCAAGCTGGACATCAACATATGGTAAGTCTCCATATAGGATACCATACTTGTGCATGTTACTCTGAAAATTCAAAGGAGAGACAGAACAAAGATTTTTAAAGCCTATCAATTACTTTCTATCCTCTGTTTTAACCACACAGAAGAGCTAACTCCAGTTCTAATTATACCTTAGCGTTTGTCTTGTGTCCTACGGGCAAAAGATGACTAGAGTTACTGCAGGCAATTCAATCTGTTCTTGTCCAGGGGTCTTGATCAATATACTTTGCATCTAATCTAATACTGAAACTGCCTCTCCACTTCCAGCTCCTTGCAGTACATGGTTTATTTCTGGTCCCTAACCCTCACTGGGTAACTCTTTTCTCTATAATTTGCGCATCTCCTGGAAGGGTGAGGGAGACGCCTGATTCAAACTGCATTTGTTCACCGCCCACTGCCCCCAACATGCAGTCCCACAACTCAGTGGCGTGCGCCTCTGGCACCCCCTGTACCTGCCAAGTTCCTCGCTGGTGTCGTAGTAGTCATCCACGTTTTCCTGCCTGAACACGGTCATGATAAACTGTCACGCTTCACCAAAGCCCAGCGCACTTCAGCTCCGCTCCCCAAACCATCACCACCGCTCCTTCGCCTCCGTGGGCCCGTCATGCATCAGCCTCCAGTCCTTTAAGAAAATAAATAAATAAATAAAGGCAACAATACTAATAAAATGGCAAACCCCAAAAGAAGGAGACCTCCCCAAGGCTAAGAGCCGCTCGCTGAATACCACTTTTCCGGAGCAGCCCCTCCCACCAGGTGGAGAGGAGCACCCTTTGTTAATATCGGGCCAGGGACGTCCCCAGCCCCGCATTGCCGGCGCGCCTGGGGCTGGGCACAACCACACCCCAAGATCCGCGTCCCCGAAAGCAGGGTGCTCTGCCCTGATAAGAACCAGCTCCGGAAGTGGCTGGCCTCCCCGCCTCCCCTTTTTCCACACACACGCCCACCCAGCTCCCCACCTCCAGGGGCGCCGCGGAAGAATGAAGCGCTTTCCTGGGCAGAGCGCGCCCGGCTGGAAGCATCACTCTCCAACACGCATCCGCGGAGCAGCCCCCGCTCCACCTCTCGGCTCCCGCACCTCCGCGGCCACCTCCTCTCCTCACTCGAGCCAGGCAGTCCCTAGAGACACATTCCTGGCGATTCCCGCTGTTACCCGGCCGACTCGGCATGCGGCCGCCCGGGGGAACAGGGGAGAGATGGGAGCGGCCAAGGGAGGCGCGGCCGCCCGCGGCCGGTGTCCGCGCCTTGACACAAAGCGTTTGGCCGGGCCCGCGCCACCTGTTCCCACCCTGCCCGCGGGGCTGGGAGTGCCTCCTGGCCGCGATCCCACTTCTCCCCGCAGTCAAGTTTCCCCGCCGTGGCCTTCCCGGTGACCCGGGGAGCTGCCCCGGCAAACCTCGCCACGCTGCGGCCGTGAAAGCAAAGGCAGGCGGCGGGGCCCAGGAGCAGGGAGCCGCGCGCGGCCACTCACCCGGGCGCCGGGAGCTGCTGCCCGGGTCCCTCCGGAGCGCCGTTGGAGGCCGACCGCAGGCGCCAGCGCTAGCGTCGGAGACGAGCGGGGCGGCGGCGGGAGCACAGGGAGGGAGCGAGTCGGGAACGCGGATCCCGTGCGTCCGCCCCGCTGTCTGCTCAGCCGGGTTCTCCCGCTCCGGCTCGGGAGCAGCCCCTCGGCTCCTCTCCGGCTTCCGGGCGATGGGCGGCCGGCAAGCGACCAATGGGGACCCCGCGGGCGGGCTAGCTGCACGGCCCACCCACCTCCAAGCAGCCTGGCCGGGCCGGCGCTGCGGGTTGTTAGCGGTGCTCGCGGCTCCTCTCTGCTCAGCGCTCCGGACTCGCTGGCGCGCTCTACCGCGCACACCCCGCACACACCCACTCTCCCCACACCCACGTCGAGAGGAGACCGAGCGCAGCCGCGCACAACGCGGGCGCCCCACCTGTGACACGGCGCTGCGCTGCCCCTGTCGGCTGCGTTCCAGAGAAATTCGGTTCCTGCGTCCCGCAGAAGTGATCGGGGCTGAGTGCCAGGAATGGTGCTCGCCACGGGAAAAATCACCGAGACCAAAATAGATTTTTAAAAAACCCAACCCTGTTCCCGTGAAACTTTCATTCTGGTGAAGACATTAGCAAATGCGATTATTTTCGAAGAGATCAATGCTATTGAGACAATAAAACAGGATAGTGGGATAAAGAACGACCGGGAGGAAGTGGGCCGCATTAGATGGAGTTCCTTTTCAGGATAGTTTGATAACTAGGAGAAAGTATGCAACCAGAGAAAAATGGGTTGAGGTCTCAGAAGCCCAATGAAGCAACAGAAACCAAGGGTGCCTATGTGTTGCCCCATACAATACTGGCTGTTGATGGGTTGAAATGTAGCTAGATTCCGTGACAGTGTGGAAATAATGAAAAAATATAATAAATATTTTTGTATTAACTACATGTTCAAATGATAGTATTTTGGATCTATTGGGTTAAATTAACTATTGTTAAAATTAATTTCACCTTTTACTTTTTCTTATCCTCACCGAGGACACTTTTCTATATTTTGTTCAGATAGAGTGGGAGGGCACCAATGACACTTTTCTATATTTTGTTCAGATAGAGTGGGAGGGAGAGATAGAGAGAGAGAGACATCGACGTATCGACGTGAAAGGGATTGCCACCCTCACCACCCAACCAGGGCCGCAGGACCCAATTGTGCCATTGGTGGGAACCAAACCCAGGTCTCTCTGGACCGCAGGCCAACGCTCTAACTGCTGAGCCAAACCGACCAGGGCCACCTTTTACTTTTTAGAATGCAGCTATTAGAAAATATAAAAGTACAAGTGTGGCTGGTGTTCTATTTCTGTAGGCTGAGCTAGCCTACACACACAACTCATATCTAGTGGAGACCCTTTATCCATTCTCTGTACTCCTTACCCCATGTTTCCACCAAGCCTTTGGGTGTGGGAAACAGAAAGGATGGTTGCCCCCTGGGGACAGCTAGTGATTCCCAGATAAAAGCCCCCACAGGGAAATCTATCTTCCTGCTTATAATAACCAAAACCTGATGTGTGAGACCTCTGAGATTCCAGACCCACAGCATTGCTCAAATTCCAGATTTTCTAAAATGAAATGATTTGAACTTTTTAGTTCAACAGAAAATTTCAGTCATAGAGATTTTGATCTCTTGGGGGGAAAAATGCCCCTCAGATCTTATGTCACACCCTTCTCTTAGAGAACATTTCATTTAATGGCCCACAGGAAGGGCTCATGTTTATGAGATAGAATCAAGGGAAGGTTTTAAATTGGGAGGTGATATGAACCTAAATGATGGGGGTTGAGGATTAATAATACAAAAGGATCTTAGTAGGTGAGAAATAGTAAAAAATAACAAAAAAGTGATTCATATGGGGGAAATGCAAATGAATACATCTATTTCAGGGAAAATTAAAACAGATGTTTGGGAGAAACTTAGAAAGTGCTTATGGATGACTGCTTTATGGATATTTTTCCTGCTAAAGAAAAGTGTTTTTCAAGGCAATGAAAAATGAAATTTGGCCACTAGCATGTCTTTCCCACCCTATTCGACATGCTGATCACAAGAAATCTTCTGGGGTAGTAAAAAAGAACATGAACTTGGAACATGGAATTAAATTAATATTGGTAGAACCATTTAATGGCTGAATGATCTTGGCTGTATCATTTCACTTACCCTTGATCTTCATTTCTGTGCTAATGTAGGTAAGCATTTTAGAGAAGGAAAATATGGTAGTTGAAAAACATACTTCTAAGAAAATATGATGGCCCTGGCTGGTTTGGCTCAGCGGTTAGAGCCTCTGGCCAGCGGACCAAAGAGTTGAGGGTTCGATTCCCATCAAAGAGATGTACCTCTGTTGTGGCCTTGGTTGGGGTCATGCAGGAGGCAACCAGTCGATGTGTCTCCCTTATGTTGATATTTTTTCTCTCTCTCTCTTTCTTTCTGCCAGTCTATCTGAAGATAAATGGAAAAATATCCTTGGATGAGGATTAAAAAATATATATGGTGGAAATGACACAGTGTAATGTCATTCGAAGGCTAGGTCATAGAGCTTCTGCCTGTCTGCCTCTGTCTCTTTCTCTTGAACATGCACTTTCTCACTCTCTCCACTCACTCTGGAAGCCTTCAGCTGCCATGGTTACCCAGGGGCTGCCATGTGGAGAGATCACAGAAAGAGGGAAGGAAGCCAGCTGTTCCAGCCCCACGCCCAACCCCAGCTATTTGTGTCTTTACAGCCCAACTTCTGTAAGCAGAATAAATGATTGTTACTGTTTTAAGTCATTATTTTGGGGTGGTTTGTTACACATCAGTAGATAACTACAAAGAAAATAAGAAAAACTTAACTTGTAACATGTAACGGGTTCCAGTTCAACTAAATCATTCTCTCACTTAATCCTCAAATAACTGTAAATTAGGGTTTTCCCCCCACTTTATACTTAACCTTCTTAGTCTCAGTTTCATCACCTGCAAAATTGGAACAATAGTAGACCCTTGCATATTCCTCAGAGTCGTTGGAAGAATCTAAAGAGATAGTGCATCAAAGAAGACTCTGTATATTATAAAATACACAGAACTTTGGTATTATATTTTCCATTATGTTTCTAGCAAGAAGGGCTCTAAGGGACATCTCTCACATGAAAGACAACAATACTATGGCCTTGAAATTACGAGATTCAAGCTGGAAAGGACTTTCATGAAAATAACTGGTGATATGAACAATAGATTATGATAATCATGGTGATAGCATTTAAAACAGACTAAAATATACTAAAACATTTATTTTATATCTGTTATTAGTCACGGTAAGATACCTACTGCTGTAAAACCCAATAAATATCAGAGGTTTGACACATTAAAGATTTATTTCTTGCTCTCAGCACAGATGTTTATAGGGGGTGGAGAGAGAGTTCTTCTCCACATAGTGTTCAGAGACCCAGGTTTTGCCCTTGAATGGATCCATGGTCTCTCGGTGCATGGCAGTTTCTCAGTTGGTCCTTTGCATCTATTGGCTGATGAGAGAAGAAAAAACCCAAACTGCACTGGAGGTCAGGCTAGAAGTCTAAGGTGTAATCACTATTTTGGGCAAGGCCTTCTAAGATCAATCAAAGTAAACCACATTAGCTCAGTTCATCTTTGGGTTACTTTCTAATAACATGCCTTTGGCTTTTATTAAGGGTTAATATTTTTAAATATGAGAAAGTTTCTGCACCCAGGGTTTTCCTGTTGAAGATATTGCCCATCGTGCAATTGAGTGCGCCTTGTACAGGCCGCCCCATAACTGAATCCAGTTCCTCTCAGCATTGAATGCTAAAAAAACTTGCCTGTCCTGACCAAATGATGTTTCATTTTTGTCAGACAATGAAAATTATAGAGCTCACTCTGCTCTCCATTTCCCACTGGATTCCAGAAAGCATGTAATGCCCTGGCCGGTTTTGCTCAGCGGTTAGAATGTTGGCCCGTGGACCAGAGAGTCCCGGGTTCGGTTCCCACTAAGGGCACGTACCTCAGTTGCAGTTTGTCCCTGGCCCCGGTTGGGGTTGTGTGGGTGGCAGCCACTCAATGTGTCTCTCTCACATGGATGTTTCTCTCTCTCACTCTTACCCTCTCTTTCCCTCCTGCTCTATCTAAAGATAAATGCAAAAATGTCCTCGGGTGAGGATAAAAAAGAAAAAATGTGCCAAGCTTGGAAAGTACAGTTCCCTCAAGTAATGTCCAATTCACCATGTCCTCTGAATTATTCAATAAACATTTGTTATCTAGTATATATTAGATGCTAAGAATGCAGAAATAAAAGAAACATTCTCTGTCCTCAAGTAACTCAGTCTGATGAGGAAGACCAATGAACAAAGAGACAATTTCATTAAAGTGTGATTGTGCCAGATATAATCCATTTGCGTCTCTAGATTACTGTCTACCTTTCTCCACCCTGACAAGTCAGCAGACTAAGCTGTGAGATTTTAAAAACTCATTTCCTTGTCCTCTGGCTCCTGGTCAGTTGGGCCAGTGGGGAATTCAGTCATAATGTCAAGTAGAAGGGAGGAGAATGAGGCCAGGCCAGTTATTCTCCTACTTTTCTCTCTGTAAGATTGCCTCAGTCACCGTCAAGCCAAGGTCTCCACTCTTCACCAGGTAATTTCTTCTCTCTGTCCAGGCCTTGGTAACCACGCTCCTTGTCTCATTGGACCTAGAGTTGGTACCAACTCCACTGTTACTGACCTGTGTTCCTGCCCCATCTCTTATGGGTCCCCTGCATCTCCTTGAATCGTCCTCATTTGAGCGTGCCATCTCCTTCCTCTGGGACCTTGATTGATAGTGTAATGAAAGGAATCTCAGGCTACTGTAGAACACAAAGGCAGAACACTTAATTCAGATAAAGGCTAGGGATGGAGGGTGATGATAGGGGTGACCCTGGGGTTTCAGGAAAGTTTCATAGAGGAGTTGACATCCTAGTAAAAAGTATAAATGAAGAGTAAGAGTTAGCAGGAAAAAATGATGGATGATGGGATAGTAAGGTTGCGAGAGGAGGATATCTAGACAGAAGAAAACCGTGAGGCTAAAATCACAGATATGAGAAAAATAATGGTGTACTCAGGCATTTATCTGTAAGTAGTAAGAGCTCACACAGTGAAATGGCAAGAAGTAAGAATAGAGAGGGGATGGGTCTTTTCCACCATACCCAGGA